TACCCGCCTTCCACTTGACCCTTGTGCAAGCCAAGGCTGCGTATCGCACAGAAGTGCGGCACTCGGGCGCATCCTCCACTCCGCGGTCAGCCCTTTACGTTGGGCAATGCAAAGCCTCTAAAATCATTGCCGGCTCCATCAGGGCCGCGGATTTATTTTTAGATAAATCACTTTCGTATTGGAAACCGAAGGAAAATCGTATATATATGAGCAAACCAAATACAACAGAAAATGCACCAGTACACTGCTACGGGTGAGAGCGAAAATACTTTCTTCCAAGAGTGCGATGCTTTAAGGGTACGCTTCTGTCAAAAGACCAAAACAGTCCCGTTGGACAAAACGCCGCAACGCTGACGGAGGGCGTCGCCTATAGAGAGCCCCGCTTCCCGCACGATATGCAGAGACACGGCGCGAGGGGAATATTCTTTTTGACATCATTTCCTTAAGAGGTTTGTCCACAGGCGCTCGCCATGGCTGGGTAGAGAGCCGGTTCGCCGCCAAGCTCTGGCATAATTACCCAAGTAAGCCCGTGTAGTTGGAGAAGGATGGATTGACCACTTCTTTAACGAGCCCGTTCATTCTCCGAGAGTGGTTCCTACTTTGGCCACGTTGGCCGTAGGCGTGTCCACGCGCGGATGGGGTGCGTTGTTCTTTTAAGAAACAGATGAAGCCTTGACTGCCGGAAGGTGCTGGGGGAGAGAACCACACATGATTTCCCAAGCTGAGGCTCGCCCCGTTCAATTGGCCCTCCGAACATTTCGCACCGAGCCGACCGTCTCTCTTCATATTTGCGTCAACAACACGCCACCTATGGATATCATGCGCCGAAAATGAATACCCACTCTGAAGCGTTAGTGGCGGAGACGGCGTCTAGCCATAACGCTTTGCGAGGGCATACAATTCAAGCCAAATCGCGAGAAAATTTTTCAGAAAACGATCTATTGGACGGGATTTCCAGAGGTCATGGCAAAAATGCCATGGATATCACAAAAGGGTGGTTGCCTGCGTTTGGGAGCGCGGGGGGCGTATTAGAAGGCTCTTTCAGCACCTCCTTTTCGTCGGAATGAAAACTAACCAAGCACCACGTCGTATGTGTTGCTCTGGGGTTTGCCGGGCGTTTTCGATGCTCCCCTTTCCACCTATCTTTGCACAGCTCTCTCTTTTGTGCGGTCCGTGGACAACTCGATGGGTAAAACATTGCACAGGCGGTCGTTCACAATATCCGACCTAGGAGAGGGGATGTGGCATGGCTCTGTAATTCGTGGACGCTCCCCACAAAAAAAAAATCCCCCTTCTCTCTACAGTCAAGGGCAATAAGAGTCCGAACGTCATATCCCCCCATAAAACCTGATCCTAACCACATCATCCGCTATACCAAAGCACCCCTGGCGACCTATCATTTTGACGCCCGCTATGTTCCTTCGGAAGTGATCTGGAAACAAACAGAAAAGAACGTTGAAACACACGTGCGGAACCAAATGATAGAACAGGAATAAACGCAGCAGCAATCGATTTCATTTTAGCACCAGGAAATGATGCACCCTTATATTTGCAGAAGCATATAGGCTATCGCGCTGGGCTCAAGGGCCCCGTGTTCATAAACAACAAAAAAACGATCACGAAAACTGGAGTACACATCAAAAATGAAAATAGCTAAAAAAAGATCCATAATGAAAAGTTTCACACGGATTTCATCGAGGTCAGCGTATAGAACCTTCTCACAAAATCATTTTCTGAAATGCGAGATGTATTTCCTGATCTCTCATTTATGAATCTTACACACTAACTAATCTTTTAAAGCGTTGTCTGGATGGGAATATCCACGCCCGCAAATCAGACAAGACACCACAAAGAGAAGCACAATAATCATAAAACCTCCAACCACAGCCCCCATGGCAATCATGCCTTTGCAAACGCTGGTGCACTCGCTGAGCTGTTTGCCGGCGTCGGGAATCCTGATACTGACGAGGACGGCTGTGTCAGAGCCAGGGTAAAGCGCCCGTGTGGCATTGTAGGCGCTCTGAGTCATCAAGGAGGTGACCTCTTCGGCGGACCATATGTGCTGCAGATTTGCTGAGTCGATGTCCGTACGCAGAGTCTGTTCCACAAATATGAGAGCCTCCAAAGCACCATCAGCGGTCAGTGAAGGGACAGTAATGGAGGTATCAAAGGAGTGTGGGCGATTCAGCTTAGGTTCAATATCCCGGAGAAGCGCGTTTTGTAGAACAGTGGGGCTGCCCTGGACCACCGTGCTCCACGCGGTGCCGCTGATCGTGACAATATGCTTCGATGACGATGATTGCGCGGAGGCGTGGAGCACAGTAGCCAATTGCAACACAACCAGCATCAGAATAGGGCAGAAGTTGTTCATACTTTTTTATTATTCTTATTGGAAATGCGTCTGATGCCCCCGAGGGAATGTCTTGTAAAGAAGAATTAATGGAAAGAGAACTAAAGCATATTTTGGCTCTGCGTTTCATCCCACCGAGTGTAAAAAAAGAAAACCCATTAAAAAGTCATGTGAAGACGAATTATTCTGTTTAGCCGCGCCACGTTGGCCACACTGAGAGCGTTAGATTCCTTTCCACGTGTATGTGCGCATGTGTGTGTAGAGGTATCCACTGGTTGGCTTTAATGCCCTGAGAGCCACCACCAATTGTGGTGGAAATAGTGACGATAGAGACGTGGCACCGCATGCCTCTCTCAGAACAACCAAAGTGGCAGCCGCAGCACCAACGCAAATGAGTCTATAGCTGTTTACACTGCGGTATGCATCTTCTCTTGAGACCAAATGTAACCCTAGGGCGGTGATCGGATGGGAAAGAGGCAAGGGGAACACCAGGAACTGTATCACGCCAGATCTTTGTCTGAGGTGGAAATAGCATAAAGTACACACACACATATATATATATATATATATATAAATAAAGGTGAAGGAACAATATAGAAATGTGTTCTTTTATAGTGTCCTCCCACCACGTGCATCTCTCACATGTGAGCGCGGCAGAAACAATCACGCCTGCGGTGCAACTGCCTTTGCCTTAGGAAGGCCCGTGACCTCCCGAAGGACAGCAACAAGGTCACCCCTTTTCTCACGAAGTCGCTGCTCGGCCGCCGTGCGGTCGCAACCGAGCTCACGCTCTAGTAGCAAGATGTCCTCCTCTACCACGTGAACCTGCGCGAGTTCATCCGCCTTCTTTTTCTCCGCCAGTTTCATCTGCTGAATGTCGGCATGTAGTTTCTGCATGCGCTGTTGTACCGCTTTCTCATCGTACTTGCGCACCTCCACCGCCTTCTCCGCGCGGCTGGAGATCTTGTTCATCGACTCTTGCACATCAGACTGCCTTGTCATTGTTTCTGCAAGTAGTTGAGCGAGCGAATCAAATGACCTGTGGGTGTTGTCACGTGATACGGGTGACCAGGATGCGGAGACTTGCCTTTCCTTGCCCTCTGCACAAGGTTGATTTCTTCAGCGTATTTCCCTCATGCACACGCGTGGGATGTTATAGAGAAAAATAAAGGTGGAAGGAGTAAAGAGGAAAAGTACATGTATACATGTGTGTCTCTCTCTCTTTCTGTGTGTGGGTGTGTGCACAAGCAAGAGAGGCAGATGTAAGTAACCCACAAGAATCCGGTCCTACGCACTCGTTACTGCGGGCCTTTGTATACTGTTCACTTGACAGCGATTGGGGTGATGAATGGAGGGAGGGTNGGCAAAACTGCATTAACAAAAATTCGTAGGAACATAACAGAAACAAGGAAACCAACACCTCTCCGCTTACTGTATTAAACATGGCGCACCTATAGTGGTTCCCAGTATAAGCAGAAACATAAGATGAGAATGATGGTTGAGGCTGCTTTTTCTTTTTTTTTTTCCTTCCCTTTCTTCAGTGCTATCCTTGCACACTTGTACGCCGTTGTCAGAATCTTTTCATCTTCCTTCGCATCGGCACATCCACCAACAAAACAAAAAATTACCCACACCCCTGCGCACTCCAATAAACCTCTCTTGGGCCATCATCTCCCACTTCCTCCCCCATCCTCTCGGCCATCGTGCGTACTGCACTACACGGAGACGCCATGACTACTGCCAAGCCGGCCATGCAACCGCTCGGCGTTGGCGACCAACACCTCTAATGCATCCTTCAACTTAGAAAGCCGCTGCTCCAGTTCGGCTGCATTCGCTGCGCCCTTCCCCTGCCCCAACCGCGACGCCGCACCCCGCGGCAACACAGGCGATCGGGGCACCATCAACGGTGCCAATCCGGCGGGGCTCTTTCCCACCCCTCTCCCCAGCGCATCGGCACCTTTCTTTACTTCTCGCTGCTGCTGCAGTTCTCCGGATGAGTGTGGCGTCGGCGAGCGCCTCTCGGCCTTGACGCGCATCTCTTGAAATAGCGGGAACGGCCGTCGACTACGCGGTGTGCCGAGAGGCGACACGTTAGAAGACGTCTGAGGCGTCGTCGCGGAAGAGCTGCGCATGGGCATGGTGGAGATATAATCCTCTAGGGTGCGCGTAGAGCGCAGAAATGCCTCCTCGAACAACGACAGCTCTCTCCGCATCTCCCGAAACGCAAGGGCCTCCTGCGAGAGCAGAAACGCGGCGATGTGGCGTGAGACAACATTGTGCTGCCGTCGCTTCGCAATGTGCAGCTTCCACGCGCGTTGAATGAGCCGCGCCGCCTGCGCTGGCAGTTGGTCGCACAGCTCGTTGCTGCGGAAGAGGGCGTAGAGGTTGCGCTCCGCCCCGTTCAGCGAGAGCGCCTCGTGCATGCAGCCTACTATCCAGCACAGCACCGCCACACCGAACAGCATCGCACAGACAGCCGTCGCGCGCCCGGAGAATGTCGTGGGCGTCACATCACCGAGACCTACAAGAGATGCGGTGCCGATGCAGAAGTACAGCGCATCCCCAAAGCTTGTTCCCTCCACCTTGGCGTAGTAGCAAGCGAGGATCACCAGCCCAAGAGCGATAGCGGAAACGGTGGCAACCAGGTGTTCCATCAGGAACGTCGTGCGGACCAGGAAGCGGTGGCCGACGCGAATGCGCAGAACACTTGCAATGGCGCGCCCAAACACCGACGCATGCGAGAAATGCGTCGCATACAGCATCAGTACGTAGAGGCGGAGAACCAGCATACCGTCAAGCCCCGCCACCCATCCATTGCACGCGCTGCTGGGGAGCGGCGGACACTGAATGATCCACACCAGCATCTCCAGCAGCATCTTGCCCAGCAAGGGCGAGTGGAAGACACTCACCTCGGGACTCGCGCCCGCCTTGCTGGTGATGCCGTGCGTGCGCGCCTTGATGCGGTAAATCCCGACAATGGCCGCCTCCCCCGCTAGTGAAAGGACGAGGATGAAAGAGTGCGTCACCACTGTCGCGTCGAAGAGCGAGAGGCCGTAGCATATGACTGCCAGGAAGCACATCGCCCCACGCAACCAGCTGTGATTTGCCAGCCGCCGCTCCGTTTGGCGCAAACTACGTGTGCTCGGGGTCACGGGCGGAATGACAGTAGGGACTTGCGGCCGCATCAGCCGCTCCGCACGCTCGCGAAGTTCCATTCCTTTCCTTTAAATATCCCTTGCGTGCTCGTCTGTTCCTTGCGCCTTTACGCTCTATCTCTCTCTCTCTATAACTATATACTCGGTTGCCTTAAAAACCCACAATGCAACGCACACACACGCTGATGAGGAGAGGGCTAAACAACCAAACACAACAGACGACACCTGATGAGTGCTGAAGAGGAACACGACCACGTTTAATAATATATACACAGCTGCTTACAGAGATGTGCACACCCAACCACAGGATTGTATGTGAAACACACGTGTATAATATACAGTCACCGAGTGCAGACCACGTACGCCGCGAAGAGGCATGTGCACTCCATAACAGCTAGAAAAACAAAAAAAAAAAGACACAACGGACGTTCTAAAACCTTTACGCTCCTCTTTCGTTCTTTCATCCAAACAAAAATTCTGTTGAGTTCCCCAGTTCACACTGAGATGCATCATCAACAACATCGCCGCCATCACCCCATTCTTATCCATCAAGAATAGCCACAACAACTAAACCAAAAGGAGCAACAACAAGGAGCAGAGTGGGGCGAGCCTATTCATAAATCCTACTCCAAAAGTGCCAAATTGTGTGTACGTGTGTGCATCGATCACCAATACGACTGGGCGAGACTGGGAGGGTTCGTCACCGCTGTCGCGGAGAGGGATTCTATCATAGCTGAGAGGCGACTGCAGACATTTTCCAAGTCCTCCACCCTCTTCAAGAGACCTTCGGTATCGACATCAGCCGGAGGAGGCGGAACACTAACAGCAGCGGGGCCAAAAAGAGGTGACACCCCCGCTACCACGTCGCTTGCAAACTTGAACGAGTCGATGTCCGGATTAGCATCGAAGATGGCACGCTCCACCTCTTCCCGCGTCGGCTCCCTGTCGCGTCCCCTAACGAGTTTCTCTACAAATATATCCACATCAATCTGCCGCTGCGCTTGTCGTGCCGCACGTTGGGCGTGACGCAGCTGCTCGTAATGCTGGTACTCCGAGAGCCCCGTGGCGGGGTTAATGCTGCTCGCACGGAACCGCTGCGTCGCGTCTACCCAGTCCTGCCGCACACGGCGCAGTTTTGTGATGGAACCCGTGAGGGACCACGAGTAGAAGAGCGCCTTGGCTCGCTGCTTCATCGTTGCAGGCGCCACTGGTGACCTCCGATTGGCACGGCGGAAACGCCAGGCGGTTTGAATCACACGCGCGGACTCGTGCCGCACCATGTTCGAGAGCTTGTGGCAGCGCATTAGCATGTACATATTGTGCTCGTTCGCGTCGTCTGCCAGGGCGGCGGACGACACGACCACAAGGTAGGCAATGAGTATGAAGCTGACGACCCACGCAAGCACCGTCACGAGCCGCCCTGCCGTTGTGACCGGTGTAATGTCGCCGTAGCCAATCGTACTGATCGTCTGAAACGCGTACCAGCAGCCGTCGCGCAGCGGCACGCCCTCCGCCTTAGTGTACATGCACGATATCGCAAGCCACGACAACAGCGTCGTGAGGCACGCGGTCTTCGCACTGCGGTACACCAAAGCGGTGCGAACCGTGAAGCCGATGTTCAGTGGCAGCGCCACCACCGCCGCCATGGCGCGGCAGAAGGAGCGACGCACGTACGCCGCGTTGTGGATGTACACCACCACCGCGTAGAGTCGGATAAACATGAAGTAATTTAACAGCTCGAAGAACGGCCGCCAGAAGAGAATCACCGGTGGGGTCTGTATATTCCACACCACCACCTCCAGCAACATGCGTCCGAGAAACGGGGAGGTGAAGATGTTGCGACGACGCTCATACATGACGTTTGTGAGACTGGTGTACTCCGCCTTGATGGCGTACACCTTGAGGATGATCAGCACCGCCGCCTCCGAGATGCCGAGTATCGTCCAGTCCACGATGGTGTCGCTTCGCATCAGGGAGAGCACGAACACAATAACCGCGAGCAGCGCCTGCACGCCACGCAGCCAGCAGTGGTATGCCGCGAGCAGCTCGAGGCTCACGATCTCTTTTGTCACCACCGACGGTGCGTTGCGGAGCCCAACGTCAATGTAGAACTCATCGCGCAGCAGGTGCTTCACACGCGTGCCCAGCAGCCGCGGCGCCATCGTGACCGCGCGCGTCTTGCGGCGAAGCGCCTTCAGAGTGTCACCATGGTCCCGTCGCTTCTGCTGCTGCCTCTCCAGCGTCACTGGGGTGGTGGTGGTGGTGGTGAATTCTACGGTTGCTTCCTTCGCACCGCGCATTTTTTCTTTTTGATTTCCCCTCTACGTGCGTACGTGTGTGAGTGCGGACACGAACACCACCGTCACTAATAATAACAACAATAACAGCAGCGCCAGTGGTGGGCCGGCTACTGTGCCCCAGTCCGTGCCGTGTCGTGGTCCACCGGCCGAGCCGTTGCCAACACAAGGAG